CAACACGAACTTTTTGCCACACCCTGCAGCACATGGTGACCTTTCTGCAACAAGTTGCCACTGCCCATTTTTGATGGGTTCAGTGCCAAGGAGTTAACAGACAACTCTATGCTGACAAACGAGAGGTTTCAATGGGTCAGAAATGATGAGTACAAGGAAATTATTAGTTTTGCAATAAGCACTACAAGAAGCTGCATCGCTTTTCATGGCCCGTCTCGAGTTCACTGACATTGGCTGCTGGGAGAACGTGTGTGTATGCCTCCAGACATGCGCGACTGTAGCCCTCTAAATGTGCGCTCATTTACGCGCTTTAGTGCGGCCACAGACTACACACTCTTGACGGGGGAAAATGTGCTCATCACTAAGGTAGACGGGCTTAGGCGTTGCATTCCACTTTAGCCAGGCCCACCTCAATATTGCTTCTTTTTCCCCCCCATTAGGCTGTCCGTTCTGGTGATGCAATCACTCTGAAAAACTCCACTACACTGTGCCTCTACAGAAAAGAATAGTTCTGCCCAGAGGCAAAAGTGCAAAGTATGTTGCTTTGTGTAGACTGCTTGATAGGGCCAACAATGTCAATTACACAGAAATTGAACTTGTAATGCACAAATTGGTGTCTTTTTTGCCCCTCTAACAAGTTTTAAACACATAAATTTCTCACACTGAGTACATTTCAATCATGTACAATAGATTATTTCTAACCATTCAAAATACCCAGCATGATAGTTCACTTCCAGCAACAGAAATTGCGAGTATTACCCAAGCGTCCAAATTGTGTAGTAAAGTACTAACTGCCGTTGCACTTCGTGGACAGAATCCTTTTGCTTCAGGCTCATGCACAGAGTAGGTTTTGGACACAGAGCACCAATTATTACTAAACCCTAGATTTCATGTTTTATCGCAGATAAGTTGAAATTGTTGATGGACGATACATTGCTTCATTATAGTCCTTTTCACTTGAGTCATAGCAGTCATCAAGACCCATAGCAATCAAAAAGATTAAAAGGTGGTCTAGTTGGTAATTCATCTTCGTTAAGTGAACTGGGAGTACAGTAACTGAGAACAGACAAAAAAAAAACCACACAAGTGCCCACTAACAACTGGTTTATTTACCCGTTTGAAGGACACATTTATACATATACGTGCGAAAAGTGAGCGTGCCAAGATGATTATGACGGCAACCTAGGCAACATCAGAGTCCTTCAATGCTTTTGAAGGACTCTGGCAACATGCACAGACCAGATCCCAACCACGCACCCCATCGGGCGGTGGCTCAAGGTGCCTGTCTATGAATTATCCATTAAGTTAAACTCATAGTCATGTAGTGACAATGCCAACTGCTGTTTGAAAAAACAGCTGTTTTGTTCCAGCATCCTGTTCAAATTATGTGTGAAATTTCTGAAGCAAATGACGTTTCTGGGTATGCAGATCAGGGGTGAGGCTATCAGCCACCCATCTCTGTCACTACATGAACGAGTTTAACTACAATTCATAGACAAGTGCCTCAATTACACGCTTTGCATGTTGCTCGTGCTGCAGATTTAATATTTTTGACGTGCACACTTTTGTGTATAAATGTGTCCTTCAAACAAGTAAATGAAGCATTTGTTAGGGAAAGCTGAATGGCACTAAAAAATCGTTTGTTTTGTAGGAGTGTTGCACTAGCTGTTTATACGACCCTGCGAGCACCATGTTCGTACGTGTCTGTGTTATTTGATCGATGCCTGGTGCATGGTCAACTGCACTTAAGCCTGCTCGTACAGTGGTTCTCGATGCGTAAGCCAACCTGCTGTGCCAGTAATAGCAAAAATCACAGCAGTGAGAAGCTGCAACTACAGATGGGAAAAATTTGTTTCCTGCAGAGGTGCCGCTGTAACTGCTAGGAGAAGAGGGATAGGCTAAGGGACGCTGTCGGCACTACTTTAAATTTTCAGGGACATCAAGGCCGCTGAGATCACTGTGGCACCCACCAGACCAGATCCAACCACGCACCCCATCGTGCGCGGCCTCAGAGATCTGCTTCGGCAGCGCAACGAAAAACCCTAGACACAGAGTTAAACCCAAGAAAGACGCAATGGTACACGAACGCGCGTCATTACTAGGCATCCAAGTCAAGGAACGATTGAGGTCGCCTTTGATTTTAGATGCGAGTATATTATGGTCGAGTTCAATTCGGTGTGCGGCGTGACCACCCCTACTGAGCCAACACCACCTAGGTGGCGTTGACTGAGCGCCCCCATTACGGCTTGGTGACGCTAGCCACCGCCCAATCTAAAGGGTACAGCCATATCCATCCATCCATCTCCATGAGCGTATCCTCCTCCACTCCCACACCTCACAACGCCGAAGCCGGCAGCGTATGCTAGCGAGTTTCTTGACTTAAAGATCTGACTGTTTGCACTGCACAACCGTTCACTGGCTACCCCGTATATATAGGCACTAGATCTTGACCTCCAATGTGTACTGCCAATGGGCGATTTCTCCTGTGCGTTACTGAACAATAAAAATCCGCAGCGTGCGCGTGATTTAAACGCTGACTGTGGGGGGTCTGCGTCCGATCGGCATCTCCAGTCTCACATTGCCCATTAGCAGCCATTGGCTTGTTCCAGTAGCAAACACCGGTCCATCACTACTGCTGCGCGCTCTACGCCTCCCCAGGTTTCTCTTCTGCGCTACGCCGCGATGAGTGTAAGCGCTGGCACCCGTTGCTTCGTATCTACACATGGTTCCCAATAGCGGGCGATGGTGTAATTTTTTTAATCACGCGATCGACGCGAAAACAAAGTGAACGCACAGTTCGAGTGGTTACGAGAATGGCGCTCTTTAATTTTTTTTTAGTGACGCGAACACCACGCGCAGCTCGAGCACCTCAAGATGTGCGCCGTGATTTTTTTTGCGGTTCACGTGCTTTTGTGTACTGCACGCCGGTCTTTCACCACGTTATCCTTCTCGCAAAGTACACAGGGCCCTAGCCTTAGTAAACGAACACCGGATTTTTAATCGCGTGTTCTCGATGGAGCGCTACACATGAAAATTGAAAGTGCTGAAGGCATACGCACTTGCTTTCCGCTCCATGGGTGCTCCACAAGCGGGCCTCTGCAATAAGCAGCACCACAGAACACTGACAAAACGCGAGAGACGAGCCCACTGAGCACACAGCGCAACCACAGAACATCTCGCAACTGCGCAAGCGTAATATGAAACTTGCCGAACTCATTTACAACCCGTGTTTACAACGAACTCGACAACCCGATGACGATAGTTAGAGCGCGAGAACAAAACGACGACACAGAGACAAGAAGGACACGAGCGCTCGTGTCGTTCGTGTCCTTCTTGCCTCTGTGTCGTCGTTTTGTTCTCGCGCTATAACTATCGTCATGCCATACCAACTAGCCCAAGCTGCCACACTTCTCGACAACCCAACCTGCCACCTGCCTGTGCGGGACGGGAAGCAAAATGTTAGACTCGCAGTTGTCAAACCAAATTTTTGCACAACTTTGAATTACGCCCCCCAAAAAATATGCGCTTTTGTTACAAACAGTAAACTGAGCACAAATTACGTACAAAATTGACTCCCACAATGTGCTATTTCCAAATTGTATGAGCGCGCGAAATTCAAAATATTTTGTTTATTTGCAGGGAACAGTCCGCCCCATATCTCGTGTGATTGATTCCTTCGACGTTGGTGAGCTTTTGGGATAGTCCAGTCATTATGAGGTTAAACAGCGGTGGGGAGGTGACGGAGCCTTGTGGGGTCCCCGCGCTTGCATCCTCATCTTGTGAAGTTCTGGCTTCTCTATCCGTGAGAAAGTGTTCACCTAGATCGACTTGTGTCACTATTTCTAGCATGATCGAGGGATGAACACTGCCGACCCCTCATCCTCGTGCGTGAACGCCAATCACTTCTTTTCTTATCTGAATCATGGCACCGTGGGTGGAGAGTAGCGACGCAGCCAGAAAGTGGCACACCAAGCACCCCCCCCCCCCCCCCATTTTTTTAATCGCCATAGCATATAGAGTGAAAGGGAGTGCCCTCGCTGAAATCAAAAAATTTCCCCTCCCCGAAAAAAAATTCCGGCTACACTCCTGGTTGAGAGTCCTGGTCTGAGCCTGTTATGGAGCTGGGATATGTGTTAGTTGCCTACAGATACCAGTTGATTCTAGTTGGGAAGCATGCTCCATAGCTTTGCCGACACACGAGGTAGAAGATGATAGCCTCATATGCTGAATGGCTGGCGGCTTTCTGGGCTTGGAAATGAGGACCATGACCAGCTTTTCCCGTTCGTCTGGTATGTTTCCATTCTTCCAACATATGTTGAATCAGTGAGGCGTTTTATTGCCTGATCGTCCAGGTTTCAGAGGATTTTGTTAGATATCCTGTCAGGTACAGGGGCTTAGTTGGTCTTGAGCTTGTGCAAAACTGCTCTGATGAGTTTCTGTAGGTCATGTTTCCAGAACTCTGTTTTTTGCCAATGTTTCACTCGCACTGCTTCCCGTTTCTACTGGGCAAAAGATTGCTAATAGCCATACTAATGCTTTCGAATGTTATGCTTTTCACCACCACAACCGGCTTTACAAGGCTGCCCCTGCAAAGTGGTTAATATTTAATACTATAAAAATCAGGAGCTCCTCAAATATTGGAGAAAATTGGCACAAGCAAAGTGAAACTCTGTGCATCTGCCCCACAGGAATTGAACATCACCACTACTGTGTACGACTAGTCATAAATGATACGCCAATATATGCTTGAAGCTGCAGTTAATGAATGAGAGTTCATAGATATATAGCACCATTACAAAGTACTGTCACATAATCAGACATTGTGACTTACTTTAATTTTAATATAAAAACCAGCAGCATTCAATACGAGTGGCCTCGGCTATATGTGTCAATATGCTCGAACATCAATTTCACACCAAAAAAAAAAAAAAAACATACCAATAGTCACAGTTGAACCTGAAAGATAAGGCTTCAGTACAAATAGCAATCGATCACATAGACAAGGAAAGGTTGAAGGTTTTATTGGTACTGTATATTGTGCAAATCGCCTACTGTGCTATAAAATTGAGAATCATTATGGAGTGATGCATGTACAAGCAGCCACCAAAGTTGCTCAACAACTGTCAATTCTGGCTTCTGCAATGATGTTACGATGAATAGAGTAACAGAAGTGAGAAAACAGTGTTACTGAGATTGCGCTGTTGCAAAATACTCATGTTACGAGACTGTAGAGACCCACAGAAGCAGGCAGAGAGAGCACAAGTGACGCAACCAGCAAAATTAATGGGTCATAGGCTATTGACTAGTAAGGTGCATGCACTGATATTGCCTTTGTATTTGGGCAACAAAACTATTCCAAGAATGACCACGCTTTCGGTTCCAAGTTTCTCCCAGTATGCTGTGTGCCTACACTCTCCATTTCTACGGAGCTGTGCACACAGCCTTCCTTAATTTGAATGACCCACTTCCCTCTCTCCCTCCACTCTCGCCCATGCTTAGGAGCATGCACAATCGCAGCTTGCTCTTCTACATGCTTTTCATCAAGACACCACAATGTAAAGAGCATGACAACATCTTATCACAACTGGAATTGATATTAAACACCATATATATGATGGTATACATGTACATTCCCAAATCAGACCCCAACTGAGAAAAAAAAAAAGTGCAGTACTCGTGGATTCAGACATAACAGCCGAGAGCCAAGTAATCCACATACTTTCGGTTCGCCTATCCTCAATTCATGTCATATCGACATAACTTGAGCTCGAACACTTACATCAGAGCCAACATTATTTTCAGCAACCAGATTCACAACAACATAGCGCAGTTATTTCAAGCGAATGCGCATACCAGTCATTACATTAAAAGTATTTGTGTCGTGTTACAATCCGTGAACCGTGTGCACCTTATGGTACTCTTATCGTGCGAGTTCATGTGAGAGGCTTCCGCAAAGAACTTGAGAAGCTGACAACATAGATGTATGGTTTATCAGCAAATAGAGAACTTTTCATCGAGCTACAATATGAGGAAGATTTCAATGGTCACTGAGGAACACTATATAGAAACAATAAAAAAACTACAGATATCACTGATACGTTCATAACAGTGCTCTAGTAACAGTAATTGAACCATCTTGTCATGACTGGGCTGGCAGCTTTAAAAGAGTACCGATAAAAAAACTCTCTAGTGTATTTTTGTGATAAATGAAAGACCAGGTCCTCAAGATACCAGGAAACATACTGGTAAGCATGAATGTACCATGAAAAATTAATTGGAAACACATTATTAAAAACTAGTTTTGGTTCATACTGCATCCTGACACCACAAAATGATACAAGCTTCTCGTCATGTGCCTGCACAAGACAGCGTGATGTTTCTATGGCCACGCGGGTGTGGTGCTCCATTAGAAACGTGCAAGCGGCCATTTTTTCCGTTTTGGTGCCTCATGTCATCACAACTAGCCATAATGGCGCGTAACGTCACTAAATTTGACATTGTTGCCTGATGACCTGCTAGTTTCAATTTTAGTGGGTGATTGCATTAAACAAACATTCACATTAATATCAATACAAAATCTTATCAGCATTTATTCAGCTTCACGTGTGCTCAAAGCATAAGTGAGATCCCGTGTACAGGAGATTTGTATGGTGGAGTAAATTCGGCTTTGAAAATTGGTGACACTATCCCTTTAGTGTTATTCCACAAAGTTAACTGAGAAACGCTATACTGCTTTGGAATTATTGGTTGAATAATAAGTCAAATTTGTATTTGTTGAAAAAATTCATACAGCAGAACTTGCACAGAAACGGTCACCATTATTCATGCTGACGCATGTGTATTTTGAGATGGTGTCTGAGCCTAAAAGCCTGGTGGCACAAAGGGCACGGATATGGCCGCTCGCCTGTGTGAATGCTCAGGTGAACCTTCAGCGAGCACTTTTGCGAGAAGCTCTGAGGGCAGAAGTGACATTTATGCGGCCGCTCGCCGGTGTGGATGCGCAGGTGTGTGTTCAGTGATGCCTTCTGTGTGAAGCTCTGGGTGCACAAAGGGCACTGAAACGGCCGCTCGCCCGTGTGAACCCTGTAGTGTTGTTTCAGATTAGAAATAAAATCTGTCGCGTAGGCGCAGGAGTCAGCATTGGTGGCGGCGTCTCGGAAACGGTTTCTCGGCAGCCGCAGTTGCGGGAAGGCTGAAAGTCCACAATGCTGCACAAAGAAAATGAGACTGATTACTATCGCTTTTTATTCAAAGGAAAAAATTTTAACGAACACGAAAGGAAACTATCGAGTTCGGTCATACCAAGCATTTCACTTGGGTTGGAGCGCATCATCCTCTTCTAGCACCCCCGTAAACTAAATTTCAGGTCAGAAAATTTACCGAAAATTCCTGGAGACGTTACTTTACTTAAATCACCAGCATTCAATGGAGGATCCGACGTCACAACCTTGGCTGCTGGTTCATGTGAATCAGCAGGCACCTAAGAGCTGCACGGCCATAATATTTAACAACTTTGGCTTCCTGCAAATCTACTTATTGTCAGAGTCTATGCAATTCACTTTTCATCTGTAAGCCGTTAAGTAATCAGAATAGATGATCCGGCGTAACTTAGTGACATACCAAAAGATCTTGGCAACCCCTGTTATCACCAGGAATGGCGAATCAATAATGACACATGCCTATTTTTCAATATAGCTCGACATAATTCTTATATTTAGTGTCCCTTCAAATACTAGGTTTACACTGCTACACCAATTTACATAAGCGAGTCAGTGCCTTAGCAGTGAAACATGGATTGGTCAAGAAACATACGAAGTTCTTCAATGTGTACCGAAGTCAAGGTACACGGGTACTTTTCATGTTCTACTTTTATTTGAATGCAGCCACTGTCGCCGTAGTTACGAAATGTCAAAAAAGAGAAATGAGGCCAACACTTATTGTGACTAATTATTCACTCAAACAGGCTGCACGGCAGTTTCAGAAATTACACAGCTGGCTAGTTTTCTACATTTGCTCCGTACATGCAATTGTTTAGGATTAAGTTGCTGAGGTATACTGCTAAAACAATATATATTGAACATATTCACATGCCCTCACAAGCATGCCATTAAAAAAAAACATACTAGGGTCAATGCTATTCCAAAAAATCTGGACATACGTAGTACTTATTATTCTCTTAGGAATATTACTAAAAGACCGAAAGGATGAATATTGTAAAGAATGCCAAGTAAAACCAAGTGGAGAAACAGAAATAAATACAGAATTAAATAGGTACTTAATGGAATCAAGAATAACTTCATTGTATTGCCACAGCGAGTTAAACATGAGTAATATTTAGCAATGGTAAGGCAAACACAGAGCACTTTTTAGTGATTTACTCTCTTTTAAGCATCTGCACGTACAACAATGCTTGCAATACGTAAACCTTCAAGTCCAATAATATTGGGTACATAGACAGACTAATAATAAAAAGAACCCGAGAGTTCGACATGCTAGAATCTAGACAGAACAACTAGATGGGCATCACAGAAAACAATGAGATCAGATTACCCAGAAGGCGACTCATATGGCATAGTCCAACACGGCCACGGCCTGTACAGAGAAGTACACACACACTGCGCCAAAATATCAGCCATTAATAAAAAGCCGCATCACATATTCAATGGAAAGTAGGCAGCAGGGGGTTCACTATGTAATGCTCAACATGCACTGGCGACCTTCAGAATGCGTGAAATGCACCTAGGGAGAGAAAGAGAGGAACAACATATTACCATAAGTTGACAAAACCACAATCTTGTTACGACAAGGCCCAAAGCTGAAGTGGTTTTAGAACTAAGTAAAGCTTCGTGGTAACAAGGACGGACATTATTGCCGACAATGTAGTAATCTTTCCCGCAGTTGTTGCAGCAGGAGATTTACAATAGGTGAAAGAAAAGTTTGTCTCACTCCACCTACGCAAGCACGCCGGAAGTGTGACCATGTAAACATAATAACTATGTAACATAATAATACGTTCTAGTTGGTCTGGCTGCATACTGAAACTTTTGCCGATAGTGCATTGATATCTGCACTGGTTTTTGTGAACCTTTTGTCTGTGTCCTTGTGCTGTGTGCGCAAAAGTTTCAGTACGTGTAGACGTATGTGATCTTTGGCTCCTTTGGCTCCTTTGGCAAAGCTACGCTACACTTCGATGGAAGGTTCTGTCTGCACACTGATCCGAACTGCAAGAGTGCTGTTTATTTACTGGAGGCTGAAGTACATAGAGCCTGAATATGCCACAGCTAGGTTAGAACCTCAGTCGTACTGACAAACAGCAGAATGCAACGCGAATGAGCATCTCTCGTATCATCAAGCTGTGGCCTCCGTGACAAGTTTTAACTCGGCGCCATAGCCAGAGCCTATTGTGGAGGCGACACTTCAAAAGTGCTGCTATTGAAGGAGGCACGGCATATCAAAGATGACGGCACTGCAGCCACTCAGCGTCTCTGGAAGCACCGTAGCTGCAGCTGCTCTTTTCTGTAAAAAAAAAAAATGCCATTTGTGTCCGCTTTTGAGAACTCCTACATTGGTTTTCAAATTCCGCAGAGGTCAAACCATTATCACGCACTCTTATATGCATTTTTTTTTCAAGTGCTTACGTTTCCCTTTATTGTTGTTCCACATATTTGAGTGAGCAAGGCCACACTGCTTTTGAATAATCAGTTGCATCATCAGTCAAACTCCCTTTATTAAAGAACTCAAGCTGCAGAACTAGCACTGAAATGACTGTCGTCCGTGCTGGAGCATGTGACGTTTGAGGTGGGGTCTCCGCCTGAATGCCCGCGGGCATAGAGGACATCGAATTGGCCGCTCGCCCGTGTGGATAAGCAAGTGTTGTTTCAGTGTGCCTTTTACCGTGAAGCTTTGAGGGCAGAAGTGACATTCGTGCGGCCGCTCTCCACTGTGGATGCGAAGATGAGTCTTCAGCGATGACTTCTGTGTGAAGTGCCGGGGGCATGAAGGACACGGAAACGGCCGCTCGCCTGTGTGAACCCTCGAGTGTCGTTCCAATTTAGAAAGCCGATCGGCCTCAAAGCCACACACATCGCAGTGGTGGACACGTCTTGGATGGCTAAAAGACTGTGACGCTGCGCAAAGAAAATGAGATGGTTTACTCATATATCGTTTTTTTTTGTTTTAAGGGAAGAAAATTAAAGGGACGCTACAGAAAAATATTAAGTTTGGTTAGACTGATTTTTTTTAATTTGATTTGGAGTGTATCATCACCTTCTGCACACCAATAAATTATTTTTACATTAAAAAGATTCAACGAAACCTTTTCGTGCCCCCGCTCAATTTCAATCGCCTGTACTGAGTGAAGAACTTGACATCAACACCTTGGCTGCCAGTTTCTGTGAATCTACGGCCGTGTTATGTGGCAACAGCTCCAGCTTACTGCACATTTACTTATTGACAATATTTACGTCACTTTTTATCTGTAAGCCAGTAATAAATCAAAACACAGGATCTGAAATCACGTTCTGAGGTAAGTAGAGTGCATGGCATGACAGGAGGCAACTTTCTAATTTCTCAATTCTATCATTTCCTTGCAAACAAATGCCTTGTTGTTTTGAAAAATGATGAACGATTAATTACACAGGCACAATCTTTAAATCTAGCTCAACTTAATGTTTCCCGTTAGTGCCCCTTTAAATACCGAGTTCACAATACACCACCAGTCTATAATCATCAGTCATGCCACAGCAATGAAATCTTAATAAATTTAGCAACATAAGCTTTTTTGACGTGTACCAAAATACAAGTACACACTTTTTTTTACGTTGCAACCCCAAGTGAACTCGACCACTGTAATCATAGTTAATAAATGTCTAAAAATAGCATAAGGCTAATTAATGCTGATTGACACTAACTCTTCACTCAAACAGGCTTCATGGCAATTTCAGAAAATACCCAGCTTGTTAATCTTTTACATAGGCTTTATATATGTACATGCAATAGGTGAATGACTTCGTATATTGCTAAAAAGAAAATATATTGATCATAATCTCATCTTGCTATACTGCCGTAACATAATTTGACATTGCTTTTAATGCCTAAGCATGCAAAAAAAAATAACACTGAACTAGGATGTATGCTTCTCTGTAAAACATGAAAAATAAAAACATAGCACTTTTTTTTTTTTTTCAGTGCGATAATTGATTCAACATTATGATGATCAAGAAGATGTTTACTTTAAGGGTAGCAAATATGAAGGAATTTTCAACAAAAATAAAAAGACAAAATTTAACAAATACATAGAACCGAAAATTACTCTCAATAATCTTCTTTCTTTTGTAGTAATGCTTGCAATACCTAAACTTTCAAGTGTAATGTACTCCATTCTCTTCAAACATATAAACACCAAAGTAATGATAAAGAGACTCTGAGAAGTGAACATGCCAGAACCTAGAGAGAACAAATACATCAGCATCACAGAGAAAGATGAAATGATAACATGTATAAAGCAAACCGCTGAAAAAATCAGTTGCAGGAAATTAAGGTAACTTTGAAACATATCCATTGACAGCAAGTAACACAAAATATTTAATGAAAGGTAGACAGCAGGGGGTTCACTATATAATGCTCTACATCCAACGGTGACCTCAGGATACTCCAATATTTTGTGAAATGCACCTACAGAGAGAAAGAAGGGAACAGAGTATCACCAAAAGTGATCAAAATAGCCACCAAAAGATAATCAAGCATTGCTACAACACGATATGCATTTATGAATCGAACTTTCATTCTATGCTAGGAGCGTTTCAAAAACCAATTTATGCTTTTTCATTGCAGTTATTTCTTCTAAGAGCATTTACAGTACAGCTCAAGCATTATTAAATGAAATTTCTGTGCACTGCTTATGTCTCGTAAACAAGCATTTCTCGCAAAGCTTTCCTTTGAAATGAGATTTTAATGCTATGCTGCACATCTAAAACACTGAGCAAGGCTACACTGCGAGATGGTGCTGTAGGACTCTTTATGCACAGTAGTCATATAATGAAACATCATATGAAAACACCAAGTGTAGCATCCAACATGCACAAGGGGGAAAGGCAAGAACATCATGGCCTTGAATATGACCATCAAAGAGTGTGTTGGCTCGGACATAAGTGTGTGCACGAATATTATGCCGAATCCACATGAACAAAACCCAGTGAAAACAAAATTATGTGCATCGCTTATGGCCAACAAGATGTGTTTCCATTTGTCAGCCTTGTACATTTCGATGGACGTTAAGCACAAGATGTTTTTCCAGAAGCTCCGACGAATGCTTTGATGTATAAATATAAAATAAAGCTAAAATAAGATGGTTTAAGTCAGTAAAACTGCTGTTCCTGTGTGTCGTGCCTGAAGTAGCAGAGGTGTACCTTGTTTTCATGCTTCACTCACGTGACAACTTGGCTAGCATTATCAAGCAGGTAAAAGTAAGACAAATGTTTGATTAGGCTGCACTAGAAAACCAATTTCGTGAATGACGCTCACTTTTTTTTTTTTCAGCACCCTTCATGATTGGTCTTCAGTAGTGCATGTTTATAAAATTATGCCAGCACCAGCGAGTACACTGAAATGCACGGTGATATGTTTGAGCACATTTCGACAACTATGCTTTTGCCACAGTAAGAAACCTGCACATCAGAGCCACTATTCATTTTCTCCTGCAAGATTAGGCATGAAAAATGGTATACCTGATATAATTTTAATGCGAGCACTGAAATTTCAAGGATGCATAATATTGTTACGAGCAAAACAAGACAGCCAGGAGTTGACCTGAACCAGAGCAACAAAAATGTTTTCTTCTTCTCAGCCAAAATGAGTATTGGCCACAGCGGCTCGTTCATCAATGGTGGCATGTGTCAATATTCCCAACACAGCAACGTATTTCAAGTAGAAAAAAAAAACATGCTTGCTGCTAGGATTATTTGAGAAATGGTAAATGTTTAGTTGCCATGCATTGACTGTACTCAACAGGAGCATCAAAGGATAATAATAGTTATAATGAGCCACAAAAAAATGTTGCAGAAAGATTTAGAAGTATCGCACACAGAGACAATAAAGGTACGGGCATAAAATGTAAAAAACACATTTTTTACCAAGCAACACTGCAGATGGCACCAGAAAAAAAAAAGGGGGGTCTAAGGTGTCCGAAAAGGTCTAACCAAAATTAACATTTAAAAAATAATTGAATAATTTTGACAAGCTCAACAATATTTGATTACCTCAACAATATCTGGGGTGTTATTCATCAAAACCATGGCATGATTAGAAGGACCACAGCATAGTACACGGATCCAAGAATTTTGAATACCTGGCATTCTTTAAATCGTACTTAAGCTTTAGAGAACAAGCTTCTAGCATTTCGTGCTCGTCAAAGTGACCACTGTGGCCGGTCTTCAAACACCACTTTTTGAAATACTAGTTGATGCACTATAACCACTCTACCGTCACAGCGGCAAGCTCACGAATTTCCGTTTGAAAAGTGAGGCATAACACAAACATTAGGTGAGCCTGCAGTGATATGACAAGTGTTCCGGTGCGCTATTTAACAAAATAGCTATACATTAATGATAAAACCACAGAACAGAACGAGAGGCATCCATTTCATATATAGATTTAAGTATTGTGAAGGCTGAAAAAAAAGAGATTTGAATAGCATAATGAAATATGTACTTAGATGTGTGTGCTGATAATGTTTCTAAAACCTAGGAAATTGCACTAGGCACCCACATACCATGGCTAACAGAATAGTTTTCATTCCACGCACACAAACTCCCCACAACTAAATGTATTAGCACTTTAGAAAAATCCCATACAGTCATGTTTTTCGAGTAAACGTGTAAAAAACGTTTGATTTACAAGAATGTTAAAACAAAATTCGTTGGTGAGACATCACAAAATAGGTGTTTTCCATGACTCCCTGCAAACATGAGCACACGTATATGCAGTTACTACATAGTAATAGCCCATGCTGTTAATGCACAACATTTGATTGTGCGAGTGGCTTGTACAAAGGGAGTGAAGGCAACTATTCAGAGGTGTGGCTGCTAAACAGTATAAACACACCTCTTCACTGAGATCCTAAGATGTGAAAGACTGCAATGGTCAGTGAAGAACACAACAAATAAGCACTAGAAACACGTTAGAACATGTCATACATCATCATCATCATCAGCCTGACTACGTCCGCTGCAGGAAAAAAAGCCTCTCCCATGTTCCGCTCAGTCATTACTACTGCATTTATAATGACGCTATGTTGTCACTACCATGCCGACGGTTCTGAAGTCCTATGCAATCCAGCAGTGCTGCAGTGCGACTAGTGAAATGCAACTATTCAAAAAGAAAGCTTGGACAGCAGAACTCCCACCAAAACGGTCACTGTTGTTTATGCTGACGCATGTGTCTTGCGAGATTTGGCCGATGCCTAAATGTCCGGGGGCACGAAGAGCATCGATATGGCTTTGCGAGAAGCTTCGGGGACACAGGTGGCATTCGTACGGACGATCACCTGTATAGATTCTGACTTGTCGCCTCCGATCCAGTAGTCACAGAAGTTACAGTGGTGGTAGCATCCCTTATGTGGCGTCATGGCATCCCTAGCTACTGGACATCTGGAATATGCCAAACTTGCACAAAGAAAACAAGACAGGTTGCTCGAGTAACGCTTTTGTCTGAATAAAATTGGAATTGAAATTTCAGGGTTATACATGGCAAAACTGCTCTACGATTAGGAGTTTCGATATAGTGGGGTAACCAGAGTTAGTTAGGACTACCCAGGCTTCTTTAATGTGAACTAAAATCCAAGCACACAATTGTCATAGTTCACCCCTAGAGGAATGCAGCCACTGTAACCATAGTAATGAAGCCTCAAAGAAATGAGAAGAGACTAATGTTGATTGACGCTGATTCATCACTCAAATGGCTTCAAGGCAATCAGACAATAAATAGGGGGTCAACCTTTAACATTTGCTCGATATCCTTATACAAAAGAGCTAGAACACCAAGGAAGGGAAAAGCTTTTTTGCTGGGAAAATATATTCAACATAATTTTTTTTTTATTCTATGCAGTGCTGCTATGATGTCCTATCTTTTGAAATCTCTGTAGTATATGCATAAGCATTCCA